TTCCATAGTGGCTGCACCAATTTACATTCCAACCAACAGTGCCAAGGGTCCCCTTTTCTCCAATCCTCACCAACACTTGTAATATCTTGTCTTTTTTATAATAGCCATTCTAACAGATGTGAAGTGATATCTCATTGTGGTGCCCTGGCTAGCCTATCTACGTTTTCAACTTGGCCCCTCTCCCATCACAGTCCACAGCCCTATTACCTGATCCTTTAGCACTCATTTGTAGAGTCATAATAATACAGTTTTCTTATCTCTTCTCTCCTATTCTTTTTTAGCTAGAGATAGTAGTCTCTGACTCTTATCCTCAACTTATGTCTCAGCTCTTCTATTAACTTTTTTCATTTTCTGCTGTTACATTTTTTTTAATTCCCTGGGCACACTCATGGACTTTAAAGGTTGCTTTTCTAACAATAGCATCCTAGTCTTATTTTAACAATACACTATCTTATTTCTCTGAGGATATTAATTATAGTTTTCTTTAATACTTTAATGTTTTCTCCAGCTGCTTGTATTTGTTTGTCTGTTTGGTCTTGATCTTTTATGTTAGAGGCCTCCAGCAAATGCCTGGCCATACTTACTGTCTGCTCAGATTTAAGCTTGAGGGTCTGTAAAGCATAATTGGATTCTCTGCTTTCCCAGATGACTTTTCACCTTGTGGGCTTCATTGCATGGGGACTGGACTGGTTGGTTTCAGCCTTGGCACCCCATTTGTTGGGATGGTCAGTTTCCCAGAAAGGACTCTTCCAATCCCCCGCCTGGGAGGTACAAGTCAAACATGAGGGAGGACAGGTGGCCATTCAGTAGGTGGATCTTCCTGTCATCTTTCTGGTTTCAGTTCTGCTTGCCCAGGCTTCTTCTGTAATTGGGGTGAGATGATAGGCCAATGCGGTTTCTCAAATGTAGAAAAAGTGGGCAGAGATGTGGGAGTCTAGTGGCTACTTACTAGTACTCAGACTCTCATTCAATCATTGTGTCCTAGGCCCATCTTTACCAGGACTCTCAATTCCTTAGTCTCTCTCTCCAGGATTTTATATCACAAATCTGTTGGATTCTTGGCTTCCTTTCTTATTAACTTGTGTATCTATTTTTCGTGTGTTCTACCAGATCAGTTTCCACTCATCCTTCTGCCTGACAACTTTTCTGCTATCCAGTCTTTTGTTCTTATAGACTTATTGTGTTATTATTGTAATGACTTTCCACTTGTTCATTGAAATTGTGAGAAATTTGGATTTGAACCCAGACCTGTAAAACTGAATAGCCCATCTGCTTTACCATGAAAAACCATTGCCCAACAGAGACGTTGGTGGCAAAAATTAGATCTGTAAAGAAGTTGACCAAAAGAACAATAACTTTGACTCAAAGAACAATGATACCTTACTACATGGTTAGGACATGGTTTCAACCAGACAAAAAAGCTTCAGTATGTCTGTTGCAGAGCTGCATTGATAGTATGCGTAGAAAGTATCAATGGAACACATTGATAGTCATGTGGGAGAAATTGTTCCTGGGGAATGGAGAGGGAACATCATTTAACCTGCAGGACATCTCTCTCAGGAGGGGCTAGTAGAGAAAGCAGCAATGGTGGCGATAGGGGATCCAGAGACAGTCTCCTGTAAAGATTGCCACAAGGGAAGGTAGAGACATGTAGAGAAGTGAGAATCCAGGCTTAATTTCCTTAGATTGTTGAGGGGAAAAACTCCTGAGATTGCATGAGACTCACAAAGTATAGAAATAACTGAACAAGCAGTTGGGAGATCTGAGTTCTGGAATAAGTTCTTATTTTAACTTGTTTTCCAATCTTCTGACTGGGTAGGAGCAGGAGGCCAGCTATTGTTGGCAGCTTTAAGCCCACACATTTTGCAGTGAGTTAAAATAGTGATGCAAATGACATTAAGTGGTACAGCGTTGAACCTGTTTTGTTTTAATAGCAATCTGTTTAATGTCTGTAACATATATAAAAACCTATGAATTTAAAAAATATTGTTGCTTAGATGTTGAAGGGAAATAAATAATTAATATAAATAAAATACACAGTAAACAATAATATTTGGGGTATGCAGATATAGCAAACACCTTCAAGGTGACCCATGAATGAGCAAAGTGTAAAATACTTCTAACTTCTAACTTCTAACTTCTAACTTCCTGTCTCTGGACATATGTTTGGATTTCGTCCATGCTTTCATTTCTACTTTTTGTCTTTTTTCATTTCTACTTGTTTTTGAGGGCATTTTTTGAGAAGACACATTTTTAAAGATAAAGAATCAATTCAAAATGCTAACATCAGCTTCCCATTTTTTAAAAAAATGATATTCCCTCCACCCCTTAAAATAAGGAAAAATAGGGCTATATACAGTTTATTAAGACCAGGGATCTTAGCAAAATGGTTTGCTGTAGGCACTGTGGAAACAGATTGGTTGTAGCACAGTGTCTAATAATACCAAGGAAAGCAAAACTATGACAGGTGTCCAACTTGGCAACAGTTCCCCAGTAAGACCATTTAGTTTTTGGCAACTGAAAAATAAAGCTTCATTAGATATACATAAAAATGATTCACAGCAACTAATCTCCAGATCTTACTTTCCCCTCCCAAAGAGACAGGAAAGCCAAAGCTCTTACCTGCATTACAAGAAGATGTTTCCATAGTACTCTCCATAGTCACTAACTCCTACGGATTGGAAAATTTTCCTGTTTTTTTTTTCCCCCCAATGGTTTTGAATAAAAATGTTAAGACAGATGTTCTCCTAATTGTGTCAGGTAGAGATCAAGCCTTTGGCCCTTGGGTGATTTTAGGTAAAAAAAAAAATGTAAATTCTTAAGTACACCACTATTATAGTGCTTCATCGGTTTGGTAGGGCTAAGGAAACTACTATAAATACTAAATATATTGTCCTTTTTTATTTAAGAATGACCGGTTTTGAAAGGGACATTCTGTTGCCTCAGAGCTATAGTACAGAGCACTAGTTAGGGGGGGGGGTCATACCGAACCTTTAGCTACTTAGCTCTTTAGTCCTGGGGATGATACTAAACTTCTCTAGGCTTCAGATTACCTATCTGTAAAATGAAATAATAAGAGAATCCAAATAGAAAGTAATATGTAAATATTAAATTATATAATATATTAAGTGCTTGGGAAAGCAACTGGCACATTTAAGATTGAAGGCATTGTTATTTCATTAATCCTATACATACATGTTCCAAGATCAATTTGATACTGTAGCTAAAATCTGAAAATGTCAGATTTTCTTCCCACATAGCAATACTTTTATTAATGTCACTCATTAAATTTCCACATTTTCCTCTGTTTTGCTCTTTCATTCTCCATTGTCGTTTTTTAAGGTCCTGTAGTTGCTTGCATATTGTTTCCCTGCACAGTAGAGGATGTGGGTAACTTAGGTTTTTGTTGTATTTAGTTTCAAAGATGTGTTCTCAGAACCTTAAATGTGGCACTGCATCTCTTTTTTGTATTGTCAACTTTTTAAAAAGCTTCATTCATTTAGCTGTGCACTGGCATGTTGTCACAATGAGGCTCTCACAATCCACTTGGGAGAACAAAAAACATCTTGCAGCCTCCGCTGATGCATAATCAATAAGGACCTGGCTGCTTGAGATTTTACTTATCTTATAGCTACCTCTGCAGCATAAATGGAGGTGAGAACACTCAAGGATTCCGGGGGTATTCATCAACTCTGCCGAGGGATTTTGGTTTCAGACTTAGAGACCTACCCAGAATGCTTTTATCACCTTCATCTGCTGCAGATACATTATCAATTTAAATTCCCTCAAGGCAGCCAATGTTAGCACCCCGATTTATATTCTTAAATTAGTAGTTTCAAATCCTTGGCTCATCCCTGTCTCCCAGCAGTTCTGAGAGGATATAAAAGCATGGAAACTTCCTGATTTGGTAGTTGGTGAAGGGCACTGCATACTTCTCACTGTATCATCTTACCTTTTTCACTTAACAAAATAGGTAACTCAAATATTGACTGTGTTAGTTTCCTATGGCTGCCATAACAAGTATCACAAACTAAGTGGCTTAAACAACAAAAATGTATTGTCTGGCAGACCTGGAGGCAGCAGGCTGAGACCAATGTGTTAACAGGGGCCATGCCTGGTCTCTGAAAGCTCCAGGGAAGGATCTGTTCCAGGCCTCTTCTGGCTTCTGATAGTTCTTTGTCTTGCGGCAGCATGGCTCCAATTGTTACTTAGCTTTCTCCTGTTCGAGTGTCTGCCTCTGTGTTCAAATTTCTCCTTTTCATAAGAATACCAACCGTATCGGATTAGAAGCATACCTGATTATAGTATGACTTCATCTTAGCTCATTATATCTGCAAAGACCCTATTTTCAAATAAGGTCACATTCTGAAGCTCTAGGGATGGGACCTTCAACATATGCATTTAGGTGTGTGTGGGGGGGAGGGAGGTTGGAGACACAATTCAACTCATAACACAATTGAATGCATAATTTCAGTTATGAATAAATTACTTTGTTCCAAGACCTAGTCTATAATAAGAGCTTATTTTTCAGATTGGCCCCTGGTAGGTGAATGCATAGCATTGCACTCCCAGGGGTTCCACCCAGCGTGCTGAGTGATAGAAATACCGGGAGGAGCACAGAGATGACACTTGTTGACTATGAGCCGACTATACAAATAGTACATATCTTTCAGTATTATGGCTGAGGTTTACAGTGTATGATGTCTTGGCAAGTCCAAAATATACACAAGGAAATCATGTGAAGGTCTTATATACAACACTGATTCACAAATTAATAACACATTTGAGTCTGTTAAAAACATCTAGATAGACTACATCATTAGTAAAGACCTAAACTGAGGTGTAAAATTGAGAATATGTTAATGCTGATTCAGATAAATTAGTCACCAATTGTTAAATCCTCTGATCTATCTATCTATCTATATATCTTTTTTTTTTTTAAAGATCTCACATTTATTACTGAATCAACCTTCTATTCTGGGAGGAAAAAATCAACAGAGCAAAATCACAAGTTCATTAATCTTCCAATTAAAATGCCCCAACTGTCCAGACAGTAGCATCTTTTCAATCATTTAAGGGTGTAGGCAACCTGGATACAGCATAAATATGTGAGTCATCTCTCATGTGTGATTTCTCATAGGCCCAGTTTGGTTCTTCTCCAATGTTTCCTCTTCGAGTTGTACCTGATTTTATTACCAGTTTTCATCTGAATCCATTGGGGAATGGGCCGATTCTGCTTTTGTTTCTTGGCCAGGAACCTCTTGATCCTGAAAGTCTTGTGGGAAGACATGGTGAAGGAGAAGCGAACGCACGCACCTCGATGGCGGAGAAAGAGCTATCTATCTATATATCTTAACTAATAATAGACAAACATGTAAATTGACTGTACCTTCGCTACGCTAACCAGCCAATCAGGAGAGTATGCAAATTAACCCAACAAAGATGGTGGTTAATTTGCATACGTAGGCGCGAAGCCGTGGAGTGAAGACTGAAGGTGGCTCTGGCCAGCCGGAGCAGCGAAGACCAAAGGCGGCTCTGGATGGAGCAGCGAAGACTGAAGGCGGCTCCGGCCGGAGCAAAGGCCTGGGTCCAGGGTGCCAGAGGAAAACTGGAGCCGGCAGCCAGGGGGAGGAAAAGCTTATTGCACAAATCTCTTCATGCAACAGGCCTCTAGTATATATATAAGCCTAAGCAACCATTCAGCCAGTTGACCTTTTGACCATTTGACTGGTTTGCTATGATGCATACTGACCATCAGTGGGCAGATGCTCCAACTGATAGGTTAGCTTGCTGCTGGGATCCTGCTGATCAGGACTGGGCAAGATGGGCTGGACACACCCTGGAGCCCTCCCGCAGTCCCTCCTTGGCCCCAGTAGTGCACCAGTGGGATCCCTTGGCCTGTCCTGTGCCCTCTCACAATCTGGGACCCCTCAGGGGATGTCGGAAAGGCAGTTTCGGCCCAATCCCTGCAGGCCAGGCCGTGACACCCCACCAGTGCACGAATCTGTGCACCAGGCCTCGGTATTTCATAAAAAAAGCAGGACATTTCATAAACTTTCATCTACAACCAGCCACCATTCACCATTCAAATAACCATATAGAATTTAATGAAAAGTATGGGTTATGAATTTTTAGTGTACATTTTACCTACAATAACAGAGCTTTATTTGGGAGACAGTCACTTAAATAATTCCTTTTAAGGACTCTGGCTTACTGAAAATCATGTTTATGCCTAACAGAGTGCTTACCACACAACTGTTGCTGAAAAATAAAGCATTTGTTGAATGAATAAGAATGACTTCCCAAGAAATCAGTACTTATGCTACTTTCTATCTTTTCCATAAACATGCATTCATTGTGGACAAAGTTTGAACTGGAGACTAAGAAAAAAGAGAATAAGGGAGATAAAAGGCTGAACATAGAAGTGATGGGGGAAAATGACAAAGAAAAGGAGAGAGAAGCAAGAGAAAGACATAATAGGGGCTTAAGAGGAGTCTTCAGTTCCTCCGTTCTGTGAATTATACCACATTGCTCCTTGAGAGGTCATTCTTATTGTACTACACTTACTTGTACCCTCAAATAGAATTTGGAATTTGAAATGGCTTTTCAAAATGTAAGATATAGCCCTGGCCTGGTAGCTCAGTTGGTTAGAGTGTCCTCCTCAGAAGCCAAGGTTGTGGGTTGGATCTCTGGTCAGGGCACATATAAGAAGCAACCAATGAATGCATGAGTAAGTGGAGCAACAAAATTGATGTTCTTCTCTCCCTCTGGTCTCTCTCTCTGTCTGTCTCTCCCTCCCCCCCACCATTCTTCTCTCTCTAAAAACATCAATAATAATAAAAAAAATTCAACATAATCATTTAATGCCAAAGAAATAATAATTTGTTAAAAGACTTTGTTAAAACATTCCAAGAGGCTATGTCGTGGCAAGAAGTCTTAAATCCCATTGGCTTATTTTTATTGCATTAGCAAGTACCTGATGAAAATGTGCAAATCAGCCCATCTCAGCATTTCAGGCTTCCTGTTGATTGTGTGGCAGAGTCGCCAGGCACATAGCACATTTGTTTTACAGCACTGCCTGATGAGCTCACAGTGTTTTACCTCCAGGACTGAAAGTCCTTAATTTGTTCTTTGAGGAACAGTCTGCTTTCATCAGGAGACACGCTTTCGTTGATCAAGCAATTCTACAGAGAGTGACATTAAAGAAAAAGAATCTGAGGATAAAGGCTAGCGAGGAAGTTTCTTCCCACCCATAAAAATATAGCAGTTCTTCTTTTCCAATTAAATGCATTTATTAATTTTTAAATGAAGCTTCTAGAATATGCTTGCATCCAGCACAATAGCAATCTCCAGGGCAAAGAAAAAATGAAACAAAAGCAATGGAGAAAAAAATGATCAGTGAATTTGTAGAGAGTGCTCTGTTAAAGGGAAGTAATATAAGTGTCAAAGAGTATATAACATGTTTAAAACAGGATTTTGGTAAAACATTACTGTCTGCTTAAGAATTTATTATCATTTTCATAAATAAATTTTAAATATATCATGGGCTGAGAAAAATATATTACAATAGATATTGTCTTTCCAGTTGATATTAGAACTCTTCTTAGGCAATACCTTGTTGTATTCATTTATCAAATAATAATATTTTTATTATATTATCAAGTAATAATGTATTTATTACTTATCTCCTACATGTTAGGCACCCCCCAACTCTATCACTTCAGACGCTGGGTATTCAAAGATGAGATGACAGACATTGTTCTTCCCCACGTGGAGCCTATTCTAGGGGCCTTGGGTGATGGGAATAAAAAAGATTTATAATGTGCTCAGGGCAGGAGAGGAGGGATGAGACAAGCACAAAATTAAATAAAAGGTAAGGGTTTAGGAAGGAAGAGAGGCCCAAGAAATAAACACCTTAAGCCTAAAGCAGTAACATTTTTGAAAACCAAATTCAGCAATACACATTGCAGCAATTTGTAAACCAATGTCTGCTTATAGTAGTCATGATAGTCATACCTTTGTATTTGTACAACTCTGAGCTCTGTATAAAGTTCTTTACCATTCATCATCTTCTTTTCTATTCACAACCACTCTGCAAGATAGAATGTATCGATCCCATCGAAAGACAATAAAACAAAGCTCTGAGAGGCTACTTGAGTATCTCAAAGTCACACAGCAAGCAAATGGCAGAGAGGCCACTTTCTACACCGAGAGCAGCACTTGTCCATCTCCTTTCAGCCACGTAATAAGCCATCAGATGGTCTGCAGTAGCTGATGCTTCACCTGAGCCATCTTCCCTTCTGGTCACAGTGGAGCCAGCTCTGTACAAATGACCCAGTCAGAGATCTTGAATGATCCAATTTTTCTATTTGGTTCAAAGCAAATATCCAGAGGTATGGAGAAGGTAGACTAAAAGGAAGGAAACTGGAGAAAGATGTTGACTTTAAAACAGAGCTCTTATCATGCTGGGTAATTGCTTTTCATAGTTGTTGTTTTTTAAAGCAGAAATTATAGATCCATAAAATGCTAATGAACGTTCACATTCACAGCATGTACTGTAATGACTCTGACGGAGAAGCACGCAGCTTCCATTCAGTTCTGAACAGGCTGCCAAATGAGAAATACCTAGTTTCAAGCAATCATAGATTAAATAAGATCGGTAGCTTACTTTGAAATACAGACACATCCACGCCACCACCACCACCACCACCGTAAAAATAATATTTTAAATTATAATAAAATAGAAGAGTATCAAAGAGGAAAATATTATTTACAGAAAATTGTGAAATTGACCAAAAATTAAACATTTTTAACAGTTAAACAAAGTAATTAGGGATCTGATGGAAACTTCATTCTCATCCAAGTTTACTGTCAATCACAATTCTTAGAAATGCCAATACCTGGGCGACATAACAATAATAATAACAAAAAGTTGTAATAATAAAAAGCAAAGAACAGTCTTCATACCACTTTTCCTAGACCAATACCGCTTCTCTCTGCCTCGATATGGATGGGTTGGAGTGTGGGTGTTTTTATATACTTGTGAATAGAGTCCCAGCCAGTCCAGCCCTTGCTACCCAGCCCCCCACAGTAAGAAGGCTGCCAACCTTTCAGATCTGAGTGCATCAGACTTAAATAATTTACTATCACCTCCACAAATCACTTTGCCAAATGAAGGGAGAAAACTTGGAGTCAGGAAGTAGCCGATTATTTTTACTATTCCTCTGACTCTGGGGTGTGACTGCATTGTGGGGCAGCCATGGTCTTGTGCAATGTGGTCACTTGTTCCCTTCTCTGCTTTCTCTATGTGACTACCTCTCTTTATTTGAACCTATATTATTAGTACTTTTCCTGAAGATAAAATCCGTTCTGCTTTCTTGTACCTTCTTCCCAATAATTTATATTATGCAAGGACTGAGATAGTACTTTCTCAGTCCCAGATACATACATCATATTCCTCTCCCCAATTCAAGGCAATTTTATATTTATGTGTGCATAGATGTACAAGTGAATGTACAGATGACTCTTAGTTCGGGTCCCCCAGAAGCCATCCCTGAAATAAGGATTTGAGTGCAAATAGTTTATTTGAAACATTATCCCAGGAAACAATGGTGGATGCGGGGAGTAATAGTTTGAGCTAGTTCTCCTGTACTTGCAGACTTCTGTGTAAGAGGGCAGACCTGGCACCAGCTATTAAAAAAGCCATTGGACAGAGAGAAGCAGAATGTGGCATTAAGTCAGAACTCCATGCATTGCATGGTAAGGCCCTAGAGCAGTGGTTCTCAACCTTCCTAATGCCACGACCCTTTAATAACAGTTCCTCATGTTGTGGTGACCCCCAATTTCATTGTTAAAAATTGAACATAATTAAAGCATAGTGATCAATCAAAAAAAAATATGTAATTATATATGTGTTTTCCGATGGTCTTAGGCGACCCCTGTGAAAGGGTTGTTCGACCCCCAAAGGGGTCGCGACCCACAGGTTGAGAACCGCTGCCCTAGAGAATAAAGTGGGACACCAACAGCATCTCCTACAGGATAGATGCAATCCAAATGAGATAAGAATAAAACTACATCATAGGGTGCTGTTAGGATGAAATGGGTACATACATTGAAAACCACATAGGGACTATGTGTGATAAGTATCCAATAGACATTATTATGTTATATTTTTAATTATTATAAATATTAGAAGCCCAGTGCACGGATTCCTGCACATTGAAAGGAAATTAATTAGAAGACATATTTTAGAGGCCAGGGAGGGACCACGGGAGGGTTTCAGGGCATGTCCGGCCCATCTCACCCAGTCCCAATCAACCAGACCCCAGCAG